GGAGAATGGATGGTCCAGTATTTTCCACACTCAGGGAGAGCTGAATTTAGCTGTAGACTAACTCCTTTTCATCCTCTGTCAGCTAAGATGACAACCAGAAAGAAACTAGTCCAGCTCAAAAGTACATCTAAAGGGCCACGAAGAAATTTGGTGATTTTTTTCCCCTGGTGTGGAAGCATTTGGAAGAAGTTGTGCATTCCAAATTTGGACTGTTTTGAGGTGAATTGTTTTACACAGCTCTAGGCCAAGTTATAAAGCATTCTCTATGAAGTAGTTGATCTGACTGCAGGAGTGAGTCAAATGGAAAAGCCCATGTCTCAGTTGGTTTAAAGTCCTCCTTTCAGATATCTACTACAGCTGGAGCATATTATCAGGAAGAAAAAAATCTCTTCTGCAGAGAAACAGGGTAGTATATTTTCCCACAGAAGATATTTTTAGTACCTGAAATTTTTGTACCAGAGCTCTTTCTGACTACAAGATGCATTACCAGTGTATCTGGCAAAAAGCAAATAAGGACAATCCAACAACAAAGATGTCCAAGTGAAAACGTTTTGCAAAAAAACAAAAACCAGCATGCTCTTAGGAGAGGCAACTCAGCATTTTCAGTCAGTCCAAGAAGTCTCATGCAAGGTTGGTGAAATTAGCTCATAGCTTTGGCCTCCACAGTAAAACGAAATGTGTTTTCTTTTTCTCTTTGATTTAGTTGCTATAATCGTTGAAATTTTCCACTGCCTTGTGTAAGGGGTTGCAAGGAAGGCACAAATCAGAAATTCGTGTTGCTCTAAAGAACGTTCATGTCTGCCCAGGCTTGCTGAGGAGCATGGCTGTAAGCCAAAGGGCCTTCTAGAAGCATGGACAAGATGGGATGGGACACTTGGCCACATTCCTGCCTTGCCCTCTGCCCCCTTGAGGGCACTTTCCCAGCTTCTCTTCCCTTCTGAACACCTAAGTAGAAAAGATTAAAAAGCTGAAGGATCTGATGCCCTTCTACTAGCAGGGTAGCGTGGTGTAGATTTACCACAGTGAAAGAGGACAACACTTGAAGAAATACCCACGTTGAGACACAAGCTGCTGCAAAGCTCAATGGAAAACGTAAGTAGAACAAGAAAAACCCACCAGGACACCTAGAATGACTGCCAGGAGATGCATCAGAGGGAGAATTAAGGGGGCAAAACATCTTCTACAACAGTGGCTTAGTGTAAGACCGTTAGAGGTCCTGGGGAAACCTATTTATCTGGGTGCTTTTGAAGGTCAGGAGTCTCACCAAAGAGACTCTTTGGACCCTTCACTGCCTCCAAAAGATCCATGCGTTTTCTTTTACGATTGGCCTCGCTGTCAGAAATTGCTCATTTGTCTGAAAGTTTGGGCATGCATAGCTCAGCCCTGCTGGCTCCTGCTGCTCAAGGCTGTGCGACATGTGCGGGATCATTTGCACAGCGTACTTGAATGTCTGCACGGGTGTGAATGTGGCCCCCCCCCCGCTCAGCTGCAAGGCTTAAATTGCAGAGAGCCACCAGTGGGCTGCTCCCAGGGCTGCAGGAAGAGATGCAAGACCGATCATCACTGTGGTGTTTAATACTTCGCTACATAAAGCATCCAGTGAAATGGCTGCAAAGAGCAAATGACCTGTTTGATACAATTGTACTCTACACATACGATGTTTGGTTGTGTGGCACTTAGGACTGGAGGGGAGGAGATCCAGCACAGGAGAGGGGCAGATTTCCTTTTCAAGCTTTTATATAGATTGTCCCCCCCTGCGAGTTGTCCCACCTTGAGCTTCTCTATTCGTGGAGGCTTTTTTTTTCCCTCTACTTTGTTATTACTGTGCTCTGTGTTCCCCACTGCCACCTTTCAGAGACTAAAATCTTCCAGTACCTTTTGACACGCATATTTCAAAGAAAGATCAGGCAGGGGAAGTGAGCTGTGGTTTCATCTTGGGGTCCTGTCACAAAGGGTAGGATAGCTGACTGCTAAATTGTACTGATTTCTGAATTTCAGTCTTAATTGTCATCTCAACGAGCGTGGAGGGTGTGTGCACAGCAACATGCGCTTTCAATAAAGCTGCTATTATTGTTTTCATAATGGTTCCATGATTACCCCAGTGTCTTGTACAAAGTCACCAGACATACAGCAACAAAAAAATCCCCTCCCATCCTCCAGTACAAAAATCTCTTTTCAGAGCCAGTGCCAGCAGCGGGCAGCATTGTGGCAGCCCCACTGCTCTGAGTTCTCACACTCCTCAGATGTCCCCCTTAACAGCATTTTCCCCTCCAGCTAGGAACAGCTCTCAAGTCACACAAAGCAAAATTCTTGTGAATCCTCTAAAACCCATTGACAAATGCTGTGGTGGCTGTTCTTCTCCCCATATGGGAGCTCAGACTTTAGCTGTCACATAAAGTCTGTCCTTGTCAAATGTGTTGTGCATCTAGCTAGGCTGTTCAGCACCTCACATCCTTGGGTGGTTTGCATTTCCAGATAAGAGTACAGGGAGGTCTTCTAATCCTCTTACCGTGATGTTTTGAAGTAGCCAAGATGGAAACTGGAGTTACGGAAAGTTGAAGTGCTTCAAAAAAAGTCACACTTACTCTCGATAAAGTACAGAGCTCCCGAGGATGAAAGTGCAAACTGAAGGCCGCATCTGACTGATAGCCATGCGTGCAGAGGAGAGCCCACTGCATGCGCATTTATCTGTCCCTTGTCGACACTGCAACCCTCTTAATAGCTCTTCTCAGCCTCTGCTTAGGTGGAACTCCACTGACTTCACTCTCTCTCTGACATCCACAGGTTCGCTGTACTGCAGTGAACGGAGGGTGCCTACTGTCAGCTCATCCTAGGCTTATTTCAGTCAATGGAAGCTTAGTAGTTCCCAAAATGGGAGGAAGAGGTTGCTTAGCTGGGAGTATAGTTGTCCTCCAAGTACAGTTTTAGCCGGTTTGGCTTTCTGAGTTGGTGGTGGACTGTGGGTAATTGCAGAATTTCACAATGCAGAGCTTTATAGGAGAAAACATCAGAACGGGATTAATTCTGTCCAGGTAAACTATATTTATTGCAAAATAACCAGAATACCTAGATTTGAACTATAATCCTGGCAGGACTATTTGCAAAGTCTGTAGCTACCTCCATGCAAAACTTTATCCCAGTTATTCTCCCTGTGCATGCTCTTTTGATTTGATTTTTATTTTGTAACTATTGACTACCACCTCAAGAAGACAGAACCAAGTTCCTTGTACTATTAAAAAAAAAAAAAAAAGCACAGCAGCAAGTATCTCAGAAGATTTTCTTTCAGTAAGATCTGCAGCATTGCTCCATGTAGCTTGTGTTCCCTGATGGCAAGCCACAGGGGTACTCGGATAGGTGTTCTGGTGTCAAACACAAACGTACTTGAGTCCATGTTGACGCACCAAGATTAAAAGGCACAGCTGAAACAGTACAAGTCAATACAAAGTGAGTAAAGTTACCAGACTATTTTTTTGAGAAATAGGTGAGTTTGTTGTTGTCCAAATTACAGGTGGGTAAATTCTGCTTAACTGAGCACCTCCTTGTTAAATATATTCTGACGATACTGATACAATGCCTTCTCACATCAAAAGCAGAGGTGGTTTAAGATGCCTTTACACTATCTGACTGTAGCTCATGCCCCAGATAGTTTTGTAATACAGCTTTCCAGTGAAGAGCAAGATTTATTCTCCTTTGCAAGGAAGATGTATCTGCAGTATACCTACTCTGTACCAGAACAGCAAGATCTCAGTTATTTGGTTTTATTTTCTGTTACTCCCCAGTTGTTCCTGTATGTATGCACATTTCGTGTATGAGCATTTCTGCTGGCTTTCTGCAACTGATAATTGCAGAATGCAGCTTCTGTTTCCTGACCAGCCTTTCACGTACGAAAGGGTAAGATCATGCTGTCCTGGGTGTGGGTGTGCAGGCTGCTGCATTCAGTGGCCAACACTGATGGCTTCAGAGGAGCCATGTGAGCTAGCTTACCTGCAGTGATTGTGGGGCAAGCAACCTCAGCATCTACCCTGCGTGCAAACAGCTGCCATGGAATAACTGGTGTTTTACAAAAGCCCACACACTCAGACTACAGTAATTTGGCACAAACCCAAAAGGGCTGTGTCTTACCTTCTTCTGGTTCACAGAGCCGTGTGCTTAAAGCCAGCTGCATCCATCATGCCTCTTGCAGCAGAGTTCAAGAACAAGCTGATCCCATCCCCCCATTTTCCTGAACCAGTTGTGTGTAGTTTACTGAGCATTTTTTCAGCAACTCTGCCATCTCTGTCTGCCACTGCTGCTGCTCTGCCCACACCGCCCACTGCTGCGTTACTTGCTGTCTGGGTCAGTAGCCTGTGCTGGCTTACCCCACAGCTGGGCAAGCCCTCATTTCCCAGCGTGGAAAGGTGGGGCGCAGGATGGATTGGCAACTGTCAGTGCTGCATACACACGCAGATGGCAAACACAGAGTCCCAGCCTGCGGTCCCTTCTGGGAGGGCAGGCGGTAGCCAGGTTGGGCAGTCAAGAGCTAGCACAAGCCACAATGTGACAGCACTGCATAGGCATCACTGGCAGATCTGCAAATGACACTTCAAGTCCCACTGAGCACAACTGGCTCTTGTGCTCCCAACAGTGCTCCGCTAACCAAGCAATGACTTTCCTTCCACACCAGTCTCAGCATTCAAGTGTTCTTAGTAATATTCTCTAGATAGTGTAACATTAAATTGAAGCTGGGGACTCGTTTGATGGAAAACAAAGAAATAACATCTGCCCCAGCCCCAAATAAAAGCAACCTCACAAGTCCTTTCAAGGTCTGCATCAGCTTTTAGAGAGACACAATTATTTGCCCTACTGCTACCAGCTGGTTTTAATGCTAGGAGAAGTGAGTCCATATGTTACAGCACAAGTTGTTTGCAACATGCCTGCTGTGCAAATAAAATGGATTGGAAAGTTCTGTATCCTCACCAGAGCAAATGGAACAGAAATAACTTTTTCCTTCATGCTTACAGGTTCCAGGAGGAGTGGACTCGGGACATCATAGCTCCTGGGTGTTGCAAAGACAACGATCATCTGCCTAAGTTAAGCAAAAGCAGTAGTGCACCTGTGAAACAAGTTGTACCAGGACACAACACTGCAGTACAGACGGTGGATTCAATACATGTCGTTGAAGTCTATGGACATAAGGATAGTTATAACAAACTGAGCCGTCAGATACCTGGATAGCTGGTGTATGAAATACAATTGCTCCTCTGGACCAAAATGAAATTTGGATAGAAATATGTGCCTTAAAGACAACATAGAAAATTAATTATTCATATGCATTTGAAAGTTTTCTATATTCCAAGGTGGCTATTTAACAGAAATGCTTCAAGGTCTGATACAAATAAAAAAATGAATGTCGAGGCTGGCAGTCTGTAGCCATTCTCTACAGTGTGCTATGTATTGTGACCATGGCAAAAAGCATAATATCATTCTTCTGTACATCTAGAGAGAAATGGTAGCCAGTTTGTATATTTGCCTCATACAAAATCACTGATGATAATTACACAGTAGTAAGATTTCAACCTTCTTTTAACCAGTGTTTTTTGTAAGCATTTCAGAATGAAAAACCCCCCATATTTTTACACTGTAGTATGATAGAACTACAATAAAATTTTGTTTTTAATTAAAAGTCCCCGTTGTTTTATATCAGGAAGGCCTTTTTGTTTAATTCATCTCCTCCACATTTAAAGACCATGTGAGACCTGGGTGCAGTAGAGGCACGTCTCCAGATCCACCAGCCTGTCAGAGAGGGGAGAGGGTATGGAAGGATGTGCTGCCTTACTATGGCACGCTTTGCCCCGTGAGGGAGCATACCATTGATCACCTATAGCTGGTGTACATGTTACAGTGTGAGAGAGCAGGCAGTGTGTGGGCTGGCGGGGGGGACGGCAGTGCAGCCTTCCTGGAGCAGTGTGGCTCAGATGGTCACTGCAGCATCCCTCTGAGACCACTCTAAATAAAGGGGCAATGTAGTTTTTTGGTAACCTGCCTTCTTTTCCTATTATTAATCTGTTCACTGTGTGAGGAAACAAGATTTTTTTTTTTCTTGTTTTGTTCATTTTGAATAGTTAAGTAACTGATATGGCTCTTACTCTGCTGTTCATATGCACACACTTATATCTTACAGTTACAATATAGTTATTTTTGTTCAAGTTGAAGCCTTATTTATTCTCCTGTCATCAGCTGTCTAATGAGTATTGTCACATTCCTGTCATGATGGAAATACGATCTTATAGCAAGCCCCAGTAATTGTTTTATTGTATGTCCCGCTTGTTATGAATCAGGTATCCTCTTAAGACCTTCAGTTCTGAAGTTTCAGTTTTGAAATTCAAATTATTGTAGCTTGCTGGCAGGCCTAAAAATGCCTTGTTCCATCCTGGCCATATTTGGCAGAGATCAAAAACACATGCTTGAACTTCAGGTATGTGGAAGTCGCAGCAAAGGAGCTTTGGTTTTGCTCCTAATAAGCTCAGTTCTTCTATACATTACAACAGTCTGCACCCCTGCAATGCACTTTTTAATATGCGCTGCGAAAAGGATAATGGACATACTTCTCAACACTGGTTCCAATTAAGTTCTCAATTCATTAAATTAATACTAGCCAATGTTTATCAGGACATATTTGTGCTGCAAACCATTTTGTCTGCAGTTTTTCAGTACCCTGCCAGACCCAGCCAGCTTCTGTACCCAGGTGCAGTCTTGCATCCCATGTGCAGCGTTAGCTTCTGGCTGGGCGTGGGGCTGGCACCGGCTCCGTTGCCTGTCCCATAGGCTGCAGGCACCGCCAGCCCGGCTGCAGCCGCGCCAGGCAGCTTGCAGGGTCACTGGCGATGTTTGGGAGGATGCAAAGGGGTCAGAAAGTTTGGGGGAAGATGCGTTATAAAGTCTCGGCACAAGGCAGTCCCTAAGAGCGGCCAGCTAGAGGCCCTAGCAGGGTGCCCTCAAGTGGAAAATCAGATGCAAGGATGTGAAATCTCTGCACGAAGCTATGTGCTCCAGCCATCACAGCGGCAGCTTTTCCTCACTGCTGGCATGGGGCTTTCTGTTAGGACAGCTGGGAATGGCTGGGCTCCATCCGCCAGAGGAAAGCACTCCTGGGTCCTGTTTGAGAACGAAGGCTTGAATAGCATCAGTGGTGAAAGTCTGCAGGTGGATGAAAATAAAAACAAAATGTGTGAAAGGAGCATAGAGAGGAACAAAGGCTGGGAAAACCAGCCAAACATCTGAGATGCTCCTATACAAATGGCTGGTACATTAGAATTAAATGCAAAAATAAATTAAAGACTTTCCACATAATAAAAGGTACAACTTAATAAGAATTACAAGTGCTTGTGGGACAAATGATAGTATTAGGATCTTGGCATGGTAAATGATGATACTTTGTTCCAGGTAGAACAGGTGAGAAGAAAGGTCTATACATTCTCTGCAGTTCAGCATGAGGTGAAATGCTCTTTAATTAATGTCTGTAGTTGGAGAACGAAGGGCAAAGGAGCGTGGAGCATGGGCTGCTGGGCGTTCAGCACTGACTTCAGTTAGGAGGAGGAGCTGGCAGAAAGTTACTAGGGAAAATGACAGAACCTTCTTTAATACTGGGTGACTTTATTTGTCTAATTCTCTGCTGGAAAAGTGTACAGTCGCCAGGAGTTCGAACGTATGTCTTGGTGACTGCTTTATTTCCGAAGCAGGCGGGAAATGGGGTGGCAGTTGCTTCTGACTATAGCAGGGATAAACTTGTTAAAAGTCTAAAGTGACATTTAGGTGAATGTGAAAATAAGTGACATCACATTTTTAAGAAAAGGAGGAAGAGCAGCAGAATAAGGAAGATGGACTTCAAAAAGGCAAATTTTGACATACTGAAATAAAAAGTATAAAGGATCCATGCAGAAACAATCTGATAGATGGAGTGTAGGAGAGCTGGCAGTCACTAGCAGAGACTGTTTAAAGGCATGTCAGACAAACTGATGCAGAGAACAGCAAAAATCTGATACAGCTGCCTCAGGAACTCTGAGGACATGAAAATCAGAGCAGAAAAACTCAAAAAATGGAAATGTGGCAAATGACTGAGGAGCAGCACAAAAAAAGGTGAGTGGAGCTGTTCAGAAAGGTAAGAGGGAATGTGAGTTACAGCACGCAAGGGAAATGAAAGAAGAGAAAAATACAGTGGAAGAAACAGTAAAACTACAGGTAAGGTATTTCTTGGGAAAACCAAAAATGGACCCAGAGATGACAACCACTTAATGTCTACTTTGGATCAGGCATTGCTGAAAAGTTCACTGGTTAATGCAACGAATTTTAACATGGGACTAGGACTGCAGCCTAGAATAAGGCAAGAAAAAGATCAGAAATATTAGGATAAATTTGATTCTGTGATTAAATTAATCCTAAAGCACTAAGGAATTGGCTAAGCAATACTTGAACCATCATTGATACAGCTTCAGGAAACTGTGAAGGGACAAGGGAGGTCTTAGAAGATGGGAAAGGGCAAATCTAACTTTAATAAGAGAACTTCCAGAAGTACCAGAACGAAGGTTTTCCGTCTCTGATACCCAGAAAGAGTGTAGGACAAATGATTAAACAATCAATTTGCAAAGAAGGCACATCTCAACCTAGGATTGACCAGAGCTGTAGGCACAGGAGGGAACTGTTCTGTTCACTAGTAATATCATGCCTGATTTTTTAAAAGCCAGTAAGGTACACGTGTGAAGAGTAGCCCAGTTATGCTTGATCCTGCCTCTCTGTAGCTCTTTTGAATTTCCTTCCTCTTCTACATCTCTGTGATTATGTTGATTGGATTTAATGATTTAGCTCCCTGGCATTTTAATTTTATCATGTGACTTTAAACTGCTATAATGTGATTGCAAGTCACTGAGTGAAATAAATTCACTTGTTGGGATGCCTGGGTCAACACAGCGCAATGAGAAGGGAACCTAGTTACCCTGGTCTGCAAATGAAGCCAATCTGAGTAATGTTTGATGAGGGAAGGTAAAACCTTGAGATGGCAAGGACATTGATAGCCATGGGAAGCAACAGCAAAGGTAAGTAAATTTACTGTCTCTGTGAGGGCATTGGATTACTATCATTTATTTAGGTGTCTAACACAAGAGGCAGCAAAGTTGCAACAAGATAAGGAAACAACACCCATACTCTTCTTATAAGATTTGTGGCTCTGTTCCCTCTGGTACTGTGCTTAGTTTATGACAGCTGCACCCCCTGGAGTTACCTTTATTGCTCATGTAAACATTTATTGTCACAAGGAAAATAAGTGCTGTGCAGGAAGGAGATGAAAGCAGCTGAGAATCTAAAATAGACATGTAAAAACTCGTATTTATTAAGTTAACCCTTACATGTTTGCCACCCAGTGATTTCAAATGGATTCAGGCTCCCATTTCTGCTACAGAAGACTTGCATTTCCTTGTGTATTTTATGGTACTGATGGCTTGCACTTAAAGAACAAGTTAAAATGCTACCCCCGCATGGATGCTTATAATTTAATTGCTGTGTGTTAGAGTATGACAGGATAATTCTTCACAGATTAAAAAACTGGCAACAGTGTTTATCAGAGCAATTGCTTATTTGCATTCCCTCACCCTGTATTTTAAAACTCTTCTCCTAGAGCAGGCAACTCTGCTGAAGCTGTTGCACTGGTTTGTTGTTAAGCTTTGACTGCTTGCAGAAGACCAAAAGGCAGTTTTTAAGATCTTATGCTAAATACCAAACAGGAAATGGTTTTTAAGCCAGCTGACATACTATTTGCTATAGGAGGGTATCTGATCCTTACTTCCTTTTAAATGAAAATTCATTCTTTGAAACAAATGAAAGAATGCATTTGCCATGCTGGAAACATGGAGTGCCTGAGCCTGGGAAGTGCTGAGCGCTCTACATGGGAACCCAGTGAAGCCTGTACCTGCAGCAGTTAAGTCCTTACAGAAATATCTCCTGTGGGAAACACCTACTTTTATTTGTGGGATACCACAGAATATAGTGTTGCCAGATCCTGTGGTTTTTGTCACAAGTCCCGTGATATTTCTTATTTTCTTAAGCCACAAATGGTAGAGTTGGATGAATATGTGAAAATCACAGTTTCTATTTAAAAATAAATAAGGGTCTCACACTTGTATTTTTAGGGAGAATTTTCAGTCCTGAAGTGTCAAACAACAGAAAAACCACACAAGCCTCCTAAG